GTTGGCACCCTGGGTAGCTGCCCGGCTAGCACCCCCCCTTAATCCGGTCCTGAGTACTTCTTACACTTATATTTTCCTTGCATAAATTAAATAAACTGAGCTTCTTAAAAATTGAGACATATTTTCCTGAAACTAAATAATTTTTGAACCTCTTTTCTGAGCCCTTTCCAATTTTTCACTATCCCTAGTGAAGTATGGCTACAAGAAATTAACAAAGTATTCCACTAATAGTCTCACTAATACCATATACATATATGCCTACCACCTCCCTACTCCTACTTACTTATACAAGTAAGGGTCATGTTCATCCTTGTAGCTACAGCCTGATACTAAATGCTTGTGTTCTATTGATTATCTGCCATGACTCTCCTCCCAAATTCTTTGCAGTGTCACTGCATTCCAAGATACAGTCCCTCATCTTGTGAGTGTGGCCTACATTCGTTGTTCCTAGATGTATGACTGTAGCATTTGGCTGTAAAATGCATGTTGCACAAATGAGACTACTTAAAAATATTTTTGTGATGGGTAATTTTACAAAGTAAATAAATGTATAACTAGAAGATTTACCTGGCTTTGCACAGTTCCTTAACTAAATTAATTTTAGCTTTTCTTCATTTAAATCATTGCTCTGGGGTGGGGCTGGGGATGAGGAATGCAGTATGCAGACTGCCCCGGAGAGAGAGGACCCCAGTCCTTCCTCACTGCAGCAGGTTGGGGTCAGGTGAGAAACGTCTCTCCATGACCACTGAAGCTCAGGTGAGCACAGTCAGGGAAGGCTGCATGTCCCCTGGCTGGGGTACAGATAGACACACATAGCGGTCCCTTTTTCTACCCCTGCTCTCTGCTGCCCAATGGGGTTATAGCTGTCTAAAACCCAATCTCTGTCCACTTGCTGCCCTCCTATGGTCACTATACAGTATAACTGTCTCTGCTTTCCATCCCATATTCCCTGCTGCCCCCATGTGGATATTATATGAGTCCTCCCTTTCTGTTTTATGAGAAACAATCCTATTCCAGACATATCCTATATTTCTCACACAACCAAACCCTTACGTTGCTTTAAGTTATGATAAAAGGAAGCTGCATAACAAATAATGGTGGTCCTAGCTCTTGCCATTTAGGAGGACTTCTTGAACAGACAGACAGACAAACTCTTTCAAATGTATAGTAAATGAAAAGGGGCACTGTGGAGTACTTTAGGTCTAAACAAGTGTATGTTTTATGTATAGTGTATTTATATTGCTATATTCCTCTCTTCTGTTTCTTAGGCATGTAAGTATTGTTAGCTTAACTCTTAAATTCCCTTTCTGATTCACTTCTGAATTTTATAGTGACTTAATTCCACCTCACTAAGCATGTGATGAAACAATGCCTTAAAGAAGGATCTAAGTTTGGGTGAAAGGATGGATGTCTTTTGTATGTCTAGCATCCTTCAAGTTGAAAGGTGCTATTACACAGAGATGGCAGAAACCTTTCTCATGTCTTTTCTCTCTACACAACCACATGGGGAAACCACAAGGACATAGGAAGGTTTCTTAAACCTAGAATTTGCAGGGTGTGCTGATTGAACTGTAGCAATGTTTTGATTGGATGCACTGGGAGTGCATGTCTCTCAGTCAATGTTGTATGCAGTCAGCATGCACATCATTTCATGTGCCCTTGCTTTACATATGTAGGGGTGACTGCTGAGGAGGCATGGGAGAACACTTGCCCCCTGCCACTCCTAGTTCGTGGGAGGGATGGAACAACCCCCATCCACACCTTCACCATCTCTTTCCACTCCACCTTTTCCCCACTCCTGCTTTGCCCTGCCTCTTCCCCCCAAGTTTCTTCCCTCAAGTGATGCGGCTCAGAGCACTAGTGGGGAGTCTAATACTAGCAGCAAGGGTCAGGCCTCCCACTCACTGGCAGTGGCAGGAAGCAGATCAATGCAGCCCCAACCTGCTCTGCTTCTCCAGGTCCCAGCCATGTCATTCCATTTTCCTTGGTGAATAGGGGGCAGTCCAGTCCCCTCTCCTAAGCGATGTGACCAGGGGAATGGAGCAGGATAAGGCTGTGTCATTTTGTTTTCCGAAGCCATTGGTGAGTGCATGGTGGTGCCTCACCTTTGCTATAGGCACCAGACCCCTACCTTGTTAGTCTCCTGGGCTGCCCATAGGCCCTGGCCCTTTGCCCCTCCAGCCTATGTGTATGAGGGGGACAGGTGCCCCCAAGCTGGCCTATGTGTATGAGGGGGACAGGTGCTCCCAAGCTCCCCTATACTTTGACTCTGTATGTACATGCCACTTTAGTAATACCAGCAGGAAAAAAACAACACTGACATGTTGCCCCAGAGACTTGGACAAGCAATTGAAATATAGGCCGTATTATTAAGATGTTAAAGTTTCTCTGTACAGAAGCCAGATCTGACCTGGTATTCCGTATCTAATCACCAGTGTCATTAACAGCCACAAATCAGGCACACACGAATTTAGGGCCAAACCATATATTGTTGAATTGAAATGCACAAACATACAAACAAGCAACTTTAAACAACAAGTCCACCCTATCCCTGAAGAGAAAGAAGACAGACAGATGTCTATACACAAAAGGTGAGTATACTTTACAGAGGTTTTCGGCGATTGATGCCCACAATCTACAACCTTTTGGCTAATGGTAAACCTAGAAGGAAGACTGGTGGGGCGATCCCTCATAGCAATTCACTCCTGCTGGAGATGAGACTGGAGAAATCCTAGTCGCTGCGTGGTATGGCTCCTCTCGAATCCAAACCCATCCGATCCTTCGATCACTCCGGTTGATTCGATAGTTAAGTATGGTATATAGAGTCCCCGTTCACTGGCCTATGCCAATAATCCACAACCGTCAGGAATTCCCTCACGCAGGATAGCAATCTAAGGCTAGGTCTAGGCTTCAAGTAGCTAACCATGAACCATGAAGATGTCAAGGACAAGGAATGTCACAGGGACGAGATGAACAGACGAACAGTGACGAACCCGAGCTCGCCTCAGAGCAGGGTTTATAAACGCTCCGAGGTGGGAAAAAGGTGTTAAGAGCTGGGTGCATAGAATGGTGTCGTGTACAATGCCTGGAAGGGAGGAGTGCATCATTTTGGGCGGTGTGCAGCCCATTGGTGCTGAGTGCACAGTTTGAACCGGGTGCACAGGCTAAGGAGAGGGGTGCAATGAGGTATAGTGATGTGTGCACAATCAGTAGTTAGGTGGCAAAACATATCTGAGGTGAATTCCTTACTTAAAATGGAAGTCAGCTAGACTCCATTTTGTATGCACACAGGGTTTCTCTTTTAAACTCTCCCTTATTGGGCAACAGACAGAAAGCAGCAGAATATAGCAACCCAGCTTGTGAACAACAGTAAACAAAAGGTCTTGCAGGCCAAACAAAGAATCCTATGGGCTGCATGAGGCCTGTGAGCCACAAGTTGCCTGCCACTGGGCTACAGTCATCATTTTGAGAACTGTGGGGAAAGAATGTAGAAGAGGGAAATGTCACTGTAACAGAAAACCCATAAAGGTTGCTATTACAGAGCTGGGGCACTGACAGGATTGCCAGCTCCTAGGCAATGTGTGGGGAAAGGGGCAGTATCCCACACTGAGAAGGGGTGGGGCCTCATGTGGAAGGGGCAGCTGGAGCAGCCAGCCCCAAGCGCCACCCAGACTGCACAGGGACCCCCAACCCAGCCCTCAGAGCTGTCTGGTGCCTGTGGTGTAAGGTTCTGGAGTGTGCAGCATCACGCTCTGGCAGTGATTCTAAGGGGACCAGGGCTCTGACTGCTGCTGCTGCAGTAATGATGACTTGGAGCCCCAGGACCTTTAGTAGTCCTGGGACAACTGCCTGTCAGCGGTGAGGTGGAGAATGGCTATTGTTAAACAGAAAGGGAAAGTGGCCAATACAGTTTATGGTTGTGCCTCCTAGAGACCAAGGCCTGCAAGATCAGGCTATTGCCAACTCTGGCCTCTTTTTTTTTCTGAAGTGGTTGGATTTGGAGGCTGTATGAGCACTTCTGGAAACACTGAAAATTAGCAGAGACTCACCCCCTGCACTGGCCAATCTCACAAAAGGGAAGGGGAGAAGAAGGGACCAGCAGCTCAGTACAATTTCACCCCTTGCTATGAGAAACAGATAGGCTGTTATCTCTACTGCAGCCCCTCTGAACCTGTGAAAGTGCAGATGAAACAGTGCTGCAGCCTCCTGTAAGAGGGGGCTGAAGAACTCCAGAAGTGAAGCTGGGAGAAAGCTGAATTGAGGGAGAGCTTGGGGGGGGGGGCAGCTGACCAGATGGGAACAGCCAGGATTAATGCACCTAATGCAGCACACGTGGCAGATTGAGCAGCTCTAATTACAGCCCCTCTGAACCTGTGAAAGTGCAGATGAAACAGTGCTGCAGCCTCCTGTAAGAGGGGGCTGAAGAACTCCAGAAGTGAAGCTGGGAGAAAGCTGAATTGAGGGAGAGCTTGGGGGGGGGGGCAGCTGACCAGATGGGAACAGCCAGGATTAATGCACCTAATGCAGCACACGTGGCAGATTGAGCAGCTCTAATTATAAGGCGGCAGTTAGCTGTTCGCAGTTGGCGCGTCTTGCAGCTTGAGGCGAACGTAGACTCGAGGTTTTGAGGCTCTCTCCATTGACGAAGCACCATGGTGGGGAACTGAAGGCGCGGGGACCCGGCGTTTACACCACAGGGGGCTGGCTGGAGGGAGCTGCTGGAAGAGTTGAGGGGATTCGCTGCGGTCAGGGAGTCGGGGTGGCCGTTAGGCAGCACGAGGATCGGCGGGGGGTGGGGCAGCGTCCGCAGGCGTGTAGCGCTTGAGGAAAGTGCCAGCGAGATTGGGGCTGCGCGCGAGCTGACCGTGGGCAGTCGGTGGATCTGTAGCAGCGCACGCAGCTGCGAGAGGAAGCAGTTGGCCTGTGGGGCCTGGCGCCCTGCAGCGTGGCAGGGCTGAGGCGGAGCACGGGGAGGGGGCAGGGCGCGGGTGGGGAGACTCGCGCGCCAGTTACACCCAAGAGTACTTTTCGCGCCAGGAGAGTGGTGCTGCCTTTTCCCGCGTGGGGAGGAGCGCGAGCGCACTGGGGAGGGAGTCTCCCCGGCCGTCAGTTGGGAGGCACTGCGTATGGGCTAGAGGCGGCTGGCGAGTTGGCGCCTCCTGAAGCAGATTCTGACGCTTAAGTCGAGGTTTCGCGCCGTGGTGAGGAGCCGTTGGGGCGGAGGTCGCCACGATTGAAGCTGGGCCAGTGGTGTGGAAAGGGGGTCTCGAGTGGAGCAGTGGGGGGAGCACTTGAGCATGATCGCCCTGGAGGAGTCGAGCGAATGACGTGGCAAATGGGGTGAAATCAAGGAGAATGTGAAGAATCAAGGAAGCTGCGATGGTGGGGTCAGGTGGAGAAGAGAGGCCACAGACACAAGGGATACTGTTGTTTCTCCCTCCCCCAACCTATTTACTCAGTGATACGGGCCCTAAGGCCGTTTAGCTGTTGGGAGGCTGACTTAAAGTTGCATGGGTGTGGCACAGAGCTGAGTTGTAGGGATGACACTGGTAGGTTTAAGCTTAAAGGCTGCTTCTGAGCAAGTAAACTGACACATTCAGGTTAAACATCTTGTTTAACTGGTTAACCAATTAAACAAGATTTTTATATCCCTATTCTGAGACCCTTTATCTAGTGTCTCATTCCATAAGAAATGTGAGGCTTGGGGATCATTTTAATAGACATTTCTGCAGTGAGTATATTGAAAAGCCTGCTAATTAAAGAATAGTGTAAAGGAAGCTAACAGGAACATGTATCATTGATAATATGTATGCAGCGTTTTGGAGGGGAAAGATGAAATAGTATCGGTAAAACTAACTTTGTTCGTAAGTGTGAAAAGTAGTAGATGGAGGATACTTTGCCCAATGCTTTTTTATTTAACCCTTAAAACAATTTTCCAAGAGTCATGGTGGATTCCCCATTGCTGACCATTTTAAAATCAAATGTGGATGTTTTTTCTAAAAGCTATGTTCTAGGACTTATTTTGGGGAAGGTCTAGTCTGTAGCCTGTGCTAAACTGGAGGTAAGATTAAATGATCAGAGTGGTTACTTCTGTCCTTAGAGTCTGAAATAAATCTGATTCCTGTTTTGTCCTCTTGCAGCGTGAATGTATCTCTATTCATGTTGGTCAGGCTGGTGTTCAGATAGGCAATGCATGCTGGGAATTATATTGTCTTGAACATGGAATCCAGCCTGATGGTCAGATGCCCAGTGACAAAACCATTGGAGGTGGAGATGATTCATTCAATACTTTCTTCAGTGAGACAGGGGCTGGTAAACATGTGCCCAGAGCTGTATTTGTGGACCTTGAACCAACTGTGGTTGGTATGTATATGACATTGAGATCTTTTACTTAAGAGTACTTCACAATGATTTATTTTTCCATTTAGTTTTTCAAATGAAATGCGGGAAAGTCCACCTTTTATTTTGATAGACTTAAATGGATACTGTAATCTTAAAAATAGACTATCAGTATATTTTTACTAATAATTTAATAAGATTATTGTATATAAAAAGACAAATATTTTCCTTTTTAATTTGTGTGAATACCAAAGATAAGAAAACACTTTTTAAAAATAAATTAGGACAATATAAGCATTCACAAAGAATACTGGATAGGGATTCACGGGCAAGTATTGTACTGGTAATAAAATGGAATATGTACTAGGAATGGTAGGGGTGATGCTTACCAGGTAAGTGATTAACCAGCAGCCGGACTAGAGCAGCGTACCTACAGTGCAGCGTTGGCAGGCCCGGCTTGACCCAGGTAAACTCTGAACATGATGGGCTTGTCATGGCCTGCCCCAAGCCGCCCACAACATGACGGGCCCGGCAGAGCTGGAGCAGCCTCAGGCTTATATGGTGAGGGAGCCTTTCCTGCCCGGCCAGGCTCACCAACCATAAGATCCCAGTTAACAGACTGCTGCACCGTGTGTAACTGAAATTTTCAGCAGTTATTTAATTAAACACATTTTAACATTCCTAATGCTCATTATAGTACTTCCAGCTCATGTAGTTTAAAAAAAAAATGCTGTTCTGTGCTGTTTAAGAAACGTGCCCTAAAATGCTTTTGCTGCAGTGAATGAGAGAGATTATTTTGTCTCAAACTTTGCTGGGAACACACAATTGTAAAGATCTTTTGCACATAAAGTCATTTGAAGTACACTGGTGGCATTTGAGAAGCATGTAAATCAGTGGTCACCAACCAGTCGATTGTGATACAGTCAGGGTTCCCAGCCCCTCTGTTCACCCCCGCCCCTCGAAATTGAAACCAGTGCTGGCTTCCGGGGTGTGGGGAGTCCCAAAGCTCTACACCAGATCTGTCTTGTTATGAAGTGTGTGCAAGCTGCTCCTCATTTTCCATGCTCTGGGGGGAGGGTGGGAGTGGCTAACATGGCAGTGGAGGATCTGGACTCTGAGCAGCTGGATTTCTTAAAGGAGTGGCATGTGCTCTTCCAGTGTTGCCTGCAGTTCCCGAAAGATATTCGCCCCTGGAAACCCCCAGGTACCAGCCAAGCTGCTCCTGCCCTCTCCCTCCTGCCCAGACACCTACCCCCAGTTTGCTCCTGCACCCTACCTCCCACCCAGATAATTCACCTCCGTCCCTTTCCTACTCACTGGCAGCTTTGTCTTGCACACTGGACCCCTCATTTTTGGCACCACAAAATAGAAATCACCACTTCCTAACTCTTCTGTGGTGCCCACTCTCTAGCAGTGCAGTTGTAATATTTTTTAAATAGTCTGAAGGATAGTATTGGGAGCTGTTGAGAATCCCTGTTTACCTTCCTTAGTTAAGACTAAGTACAGTGGCCTGTACTTAGGCGATGTATAAGTCGAGAGACAAATATAGGGGCAATTATAATTACAGTCAGACTTACGTCGGATCCGCAGTTACGAACGGGGCCGTCTCCAGCAGACCAAGGAGAGGAAGCAAAGCGGCGGAACACGCGGGCAGCGGACAGCCCAGATGCGTCTGGGCTGCCCGCGTGCTCCGTGGCTT